GGGCACAGGTGTAGGGCATATACCGAACATGATCACACTAGGGACCACACCCTCAAGGAAATCTGGCTCTCCTTAACCCCTTGCTGTCATCAACTGTCCTCAATTAGACTAGGTATAAGGCTTTGTTACTCCCTCCCCAACCCATGCTGGAATATTGAGCGGCTTGATCTTGGGCAGGTCTTGTTTGGCTCTCTAAATTCCTACAAAAGCCCACACTCAAGTCATAAAGGGAGGTGATTTGTTGCCCAAGAACACACAGTGCACTACAGAATAGAAACCACACCCCCGGCTTATTGGTCTGGTGTCCTGGAAATGATATTAACCTCCCTCTGTCATTTTTACAGGACCAGATACTAACCCAAATATTCCAAAATGTAACTGTTCCCCCAAGGACTCTTGAAATGTTTGTTAGACAGTGTTAAGTTCATGAGTCCTGCACCCCACACCTGGATTCTGATATCAATGTGACTTTGGGCTGGGGGGACTCATGTGTTTATCAAGAACTTTGAATATCGAGCGTGATATTCATTTCACTTCTTGCAGTATCAGTATGCAATATATAAGGAATGCATGCACGTGTGTGCGCATGTGCACATGTGTTTCCTTGACTACCTTTTGAGTTATATTTGTTCATTCATCTGCTTAACATTTATATGCATCAATTACGTGCATAACACTTTCTATTGCTGCTCAATTTTCAATGACTTTCCCCCTTCTGGATTCAGGACTGTAGTTCATGTTAGCCTAAATGAAAAAAAAAATTAGGAACTTGAGAAAAGAAGTGTGCGCTACCATGTTTTATAACTGTGCTCCAGAGAGGTTAGATATTGCCAAGGAAAGGAGATGTCTTTTCTAAGAGTCAATGTTAGCCGGTCAGGATTTAGGAATCTCAGGCTGAGTTAATAGGGCAACTACGAATGCTCTGCTACTAACAATTTACAAAAGTATGAGAGACTTCTAGAGTCAGAGCAGTGAAGGTGCTGTTCACAGCCTTGATTCTAAGAGAACCATAGGGCCTCTGCACTGGCAAGGGTCTTTGACCAGCACCTAGATCCTCCTGTCCATTTTTCCACTAATCACCTCATCAGTCCCCAAACTAAGCCACTGTCCTTGGAGCTAGAAGAGTGCAGGGGGTTCCAGGCTAGGTGTCCCATATCAACCTCCTCCAAGCTCCATGCATACAGGGAGCTTCCCCATCAAAGCTAAGGGTCGAGCTCCCTAGATCCAAATCTGGGTATCTTAGAGGGAAAGTCCTCTAGCAGCCTGACCTCTGAGTTCCAGAGGACTTCTTCAACACGTGTGTAAAGAGGGAAGTGGGTCTTCCAAATGATTCAGAAACAACACAAATCTTCATGATTTTCCTCTTTAGTATTTCTAGTTTTAATTTGACATATATACAATCATTAGAAATCCTACTTTAACCAAACAAAGACCAACCTCTTCCTCAAGTCCCCCCTCCCAGGTCTGCCTCAGTTTATCTCCCACATCATCCCCACTTGCTTTTCTGGATCGGCTCCACCTGAGACACCTGTGCTTTCCTCTCTCCTTCCCGTGCCTCTGCATTTTCTCTTTTTCTCACTTTTGTTCCTTTCCAAGAAAACTCTCTCCTGGGTTTCCCTACTGGTAGGAGTTTTGCGAAGCTAAATGACACCAAATGATGTCTCCAGCTGGTGGTAATGATTGGGTTCTGACTGAACTGCGGTAAGAAGGCAGGAAGCTACAACACAGAGCTTAGCCTTAGCTGTAACTGGGAGCAGCCCCTCTCTGTCACACAGTGCATCTTCTGCACAATTGCACACATGCATACATACATAAATACATACATACATGCATATATACATGCACATGTAATGCAACTCAAGTTCACACACACAATGAAAACACAGACATGAACGCTGTTTTACAAAAGCAAAGACATACCCACAGAGCTCCATATAGCAATAATCCTCATTTCCTCCCCCAGTTAACCCTTCCTAACTTCCCAAAGTGCTGGATTCGCTCCCATCAGTGTTGGCGGCAGGAGTCTGGCGATGCTGTCCATTTCAATCTTGAAGACACGGTGAACTAGTCCAGATGAAGTGACTGAAGGACAGCTGGCAGCAGTGCAATTGAGAAGGAGAAGGAGGCTGTTGCATGGGGACCAGTTCTCTTTGGAGAGACAAAACTTCCTGCTCCGTTCCATCTCTTCGCAACCTCCTGCAGGCTGCTTCATTTTCTGCTGTGTGAGCTCAGAGGGGGTGCCCAATTTGATGAACAATACCTATAAAGCCATTCACAGTGCCCCACTGTGACAGAGTGGCCAACTCACCTGGCTCAACACTGTACCCGTTCTGTCTCCTGGCGAATCTTCCATGTAGACATTCCCAGTGTAGTCTTCCCTTACCACCCGTTTCTATGCAATGTTTTTGGAGTCACGCCTCTTAGAGTAGAATCTGCTGTTGTGTCTTTTGCATTTTGGAGGACTTGATCTTCCTGCAAGGGTTTGAGAGGAGAAGGTGGTGGGCAGTGACCCCAGAGAAAGTTAGGATGTGAGAAGACACTTAGATCAAAGCTCCCTTTAAAGGTTGGATCTCCTGTAGATACCTGTGACTTATTGCAAGGAGCCTCAGGGCTCATTTAAAAGCCTTGGAAACTGGGATTCCTTTAAGATGCCCTGCTGAGTGGTGTCACCTCTCTAGGTCAATGGGGCCATCACCCAGTATCGAGTTAAACCTGTCTCCCCTCAGGCCAGAGTTCCTGGGAGAGTCTTTGTGGGTGGAAAGTATCATTCAGTCTTGCTGGCTCACCATTCTGATGATGAAAGTATCTTTCATCTCATTCTTTTCAAAGCGCTTTCACACGATTAGCCTATTGATTGATTGAATCATTGTACACGTTTATTGAACACACGAGGTGCTTCTGATCTTGACAGAACAAGGCAGGATCTAGATAAATACCTGCCCTCATGGAGAGTGTCCACAAAGACCAGGCCATGCCGATGGATGCCCTGAGCAGTGAGGTGGGTTTTACAGAGAGCAAGGAGAGCCTCTTCCAAGTGAATCCCCACCCCAACACCCTGAAGGTCAGACAGAAAACCCGCTGAACTTCTTTCTCAGAGAGGCCAAGTGACTTGGTGACTGTCCTGGCACTGGAGGCAGATTCAGGACATACCTCCTGATTCGAGTCAGATGTGCCTTTTCTCTGTTGTCCTGAAATGCTACTTTCTAGAAAGTTCTTCTTGTGGCCAGAGCTTGTCTTTCCTTCCTCTTGTCTGAGTGGAGAAACAGTCACATCCCAATTCTTTCTGGGCCCACATGTACATCACTCCAGGGACAAGAAAGGGGAAGAAAAAAAAAGATATCTGTCTCCTTTACTTCCCAAAGAAGGCCAGCAGCACTGAGAAACTGTCTGCATGTCACAGTCACATGCAGCCTCTGCCAGGACATTGATTTTCCCAAGGGAGTCCTGACTGTGTGTACTCACACAGGGGGCAGGGACAATTCTGTCTTCCTACTCAGAACTGGGACTCCAGATAACTGCCTGGGCCCAGGCTCCATGCCAAGGCCAGGGTTTGGGAGGGTCTGCTTTGCCTTTCTGTAGGAAGAGATTGCACAGTGGTGAAAAAAAAAAAAGTCTGTGTGTCTGAGGGTGCCAGAGAATTGGGTGTGTCTCTCTGTGTGTATTAATCAGAGAAACGAGATCAAGACAGACTTGATGAAAATTTTTAATAACTGGCAGGACCCCCCCGCCTTTCCTAGTATGATGGAAAACCTGCTAAAGGAGGGTAAAGATGGCTGTGTGCAGGGACTTCCTGGAAGTGAAGGAATTCTGGGAGATGTCTCTGTGGGTAGCAGCTTCTTCTTCAGAGCCCAGGACATCTCACAAGTTACTCCTCTTCCTACTTCTCCTTGAAGGTCAAGGGCCCTAAACTGTAGCAGCATCTAGACAGCATGGTGCCGAAGGTCAGCTGGGCAGATACTAGAGATGAGGGTGCTTATGTTTGGGGTGCTTACAGATCTAGGGAAGTGAGGCTTCGGAGAAGCTGGGAGGCTGAGAAGGTTGTGTTCCTTGAGTCAGAAAGTGGAAGAGTGGCCCATCTGCAGGATTCCAGGGGAGCATGAGATGGTTCTGAGTCACTTAGGAAATGTGCAGACTTGGAGTCCTGTCCCTTTAAGGCCTTTCCCACCGGGATCTACAGCCCACATAGAGTGGATGCTACAGCTCTCTGAGGAACTGGAGCCATAAATGATGAGTGTCTCCCCTGAACTCATCTCCCTGCGCCTGGTGCTTAAAGTGAATTGAGACGAAGATCTGATAAATGAATAAACCTGTAAATGGAATAAAAAACCTTATGAACCTGAAGGAGAAATAGGAGTCCCAGGTCTGTTAAGTCTAAATTGAATAAATCTGATCAACTCCCTGACAATTTCTGCCAACGCTCTTGAACAAGGAGGAGAAGAGGGGTGAGCAGGGAGGGGCCGAGACGGGAGCATGTGTGGTGGGAGAGGAAGGCAGGAACTGGCTCCATAATTAAGCTATCATTGGAGCCAACAGAGGGGAAGGCCCCTGCACCCCTAGCTTCACTCTTGGACTAATAAATAGATGGCAATAGAAGATCCTTGCAAGTCCAGCTGCTCCCCCATGTCTGCCTGAGGCTACCTCAGCAGAGCTATCAGATCCGCACAAAGCAGGGGAGGCCAATGTCTTTTTCTGGAGCCCCTTGTGATGCATAGCCTGTGTTGAGGTGGGGGACCTTGGGCAGTGTGGAGCCCTTTGCCTCGTCATTGACCCGTGACACTGTCTCTCTCCTGTGCTAGGCAAATTGCTTGTTGCAATGGCAAAACAGAGCCCCGGGGTTCTTTAATACTCATCCCAGTGAGCAGTAAACCAGTCCACAGTCCGTCCTCCTGATTCTGGAACCGGGTGGGGTGGAAGCTCCTGACTGCCTCCCCCAGCACAGAGCAGAGCAGTGGCATCAAAGCTGGCTCAGAAAAATCTCAGCTTCTGTTTGATGTTCGCAGGCAGTGTCTCTGGGGGAAGTAGCTACCATGAAGGATGTAAAACCTTCCCTGAGCTGCTCTGACGCAAGTGTTCCAGCCCAGAGGAGCTCCCAACCACCAGGCAGCATCAGCAGTGAGCTGTAGGAGGGCACCCCCCAGCCTGGGTGGACCCCAGGTAACTGCAACCCAACCCACCTCTGACTGCACCACCCAGAAAGAGTAGCCTTACCCAGTCGCTCCTGAGTTCCTGCCCTATGACATCTGAGCTGAGCGGTATGCAGGTGCTGCTGAAAACTGCTGAGCTTTAGAGTAATTTGTTAAGACTGAGCCAAAACACATCCCTTGGGGGGGTCCTTTTTGAAAGTGAGTGGGTAGACTAGGCTAGCATTTAAACTACAGTTTGAAAATTATGTGTGGAATTAACGAACTTTTACCCCAGTTCTTTATTGTTGTAAAACACATATAACATAAAGTTTATCAATATACCTATTTCAGTGGTATTAAATATGTTAGTATCAAAATCCACCCCCATTATTCTTTTTATTTTGTATAATTGAGTGTGTGTGTGTGTGTGTGTGTGTGTGTGTGTGTGTGTATCAAACAGGAATTCCTTGTTCCCTATCTCCCCTGCTCACTGTTACCCCCATTTTATCTCAGGGTCCATCCATGTTGTATCATGTCAAATGCTTCTCCTTTTGAAGACTGAGTGATATTCCATGAAAAGATTAAAAGGACATACCACATTCTGCTTTGTCGATTCACTCATGCATTGGCAATCACTTTGGTGGATTCTGTTTGTGGATAATGCTGGGATGAACTTGTGCTCATTAGTATCTCCTCAAGTTCTGCCTTTAGCTCTCGCCGACATATACACAACAGTGTAATTGATAGGTTGTACAGTAATGTGACTTTAAAATCTTAGAGGAAGCACCATGGTGTTTTCCAGAGCAGAGGTGCCATTTTGCATTTCTACAGCGCACCAGACTTCCAGTCTCTTCACACCTTCACCGACACTCATTTCCTGACTTTTTCCTTGTGGGTATAAAGTGACATCTATTTCAGAGTTGATTTGCATTTTCCTAATGACTAGTGATGCTGAACAGTTTTCTTTTTCAAAACTGTTTTCTTTGAAAAGCAGAATTCAAATGGCACAAAAGAGTAAAGGAAAAGAAAAGCCCAGAAATTAAATAGTTTCCTTCCCTAGCCTGGAATTCGTCCCAGTAGTGGAAGATAATACCTCCAACAAATGTGAATCTTCCAGAAAGGTTTCATGTGAACAGAGTGTGTACAGATACCCTTATAAAATTACACATAGGATTATATCAGGCTTCATTATTTTATAGTTTGCTGTTTTCAGCAACTTGTGCGGATTGGTAATTTACCTATCAACATACACGTGTGTACCTCATCTTTCTTCATATCTGTATAGTATTGTAGGGTGTGGCCATGGGAATATTTCCTTTCCAAGTCAGTCACTTTCCCTGAGTATCTCAGCTGTCTCTGAGGTGAGTTGGCTGGAATTGCTCTATGGGTACAAATCGGTTATCCTTGTATATTTATTCATATTAACTTTTAGACAAGAATATTTGCAAGTCAAGATAACAGTGCTGTTTCTGGGTCAAAGGATACATGTGTTTAAAATTGCAATAATCCTTGCCAAAGTCGCCTTTAAAAGGCTTGCATTTAGAGCAGGCCGAAGCCGAGGAAGCCAGCCTTCTGCCACACTTGTGATCTTTCGAGTTTCATCAATCTGCTAGAAGAAAAATGTGCCCTACTTTACATTTTTATGCCTTTTCTTACAACGTTGGACATTTTTATCTGTGTTGTGATGATTTTTTTTGACGCTCTGTTCTTTGAATAGCTAATTCATGTTCTCTGCCGACCGTACTCAGTCATTCATCTCTTTTTAACCCCATTTGTAAAAGCTTTTCTTATTTTAAGAAATTTACTATTTTTATGTTACAAATATTTCCTTATTAAACACGTTTTTTTTTTGACATTTCAGGGGTTTCTCGTATGTAAACTATTTTGTTTCTAGAGTATCAGATTTATTAGTCTGTTTATAAAACGGCTTTTGAGGTCTCCCCTGCTTTCAGATGTCTTCTCTTTTCTAGGATTATAAAGCAAAAAAAACCAAATTGTATGTGTTTCCTTCCAGGGCATATTATTTGGCAGTTAAAAACCTTGATGTGTTTGGATTTTATTTTTGATATAAGGGATGATAGGACTCAGGGTTACTTTCAAATGGCTAGATCGAAGCTCTCCGGTAGAAATATAAACTGAGCCACATATGTAACTGAAAATATTCTATTAACCACATTTTAAAAAGTAAAAAGAAACAGGTGGAAGTAATTATAACAACATATATTATTTAACCCACTCTATCTAAAATATCATTTCATCATGTAATTGATATAAAAATTATTAATGAGTTAGTTTACTTTTTTTCATACCGAGTCTTTAAAACCTGGTGTGTGCTTGAGACATTCTGTACTTGGTGTACCCAGTGGTGCATGAAGCCCAGAGCCACCATCCTGGAGAACTCAAGAGTTGAAATAGTCACCCCAGTAACATCGCCAACTCTTTTCTCCTTCCACCAACCTCGAATGCCACCCGTGTTGGCTAACTTATGACTTCTGTTTCATATAGGGATGTGTCCAGCCTATGGAATACTTTTCCATTGAGCTCCATTTCTTCCTTCCCATACTGATCACGGTCTGTTTTAACTATGTCGTCCTGACCTCTTTTACTACCCCATAGATTCCACACACCCCATTCTCTTTGCTTAATGTATCTGTGGCTCTTGCAATTTAGCTCTGGCTTTAGACAGACATTTCTATCTGTTCTGGAAGTGGTCCCCCATAGGCTCAGCTGTGCAAGTCCTTGGCCCCCAGCGGGTGGTCCTGGAGCCTTTGGGATGTGTGGTTTAGCTGACAGAAGTGGGTGGCTCTGAGCAGGTATTGCTGCAATGTGAACAAGCCCCACATTCACGCTGCTGGAGGGGCAATGCCTTTCCCTTCCTGATGGACGGTATCCTCTGAAACCATAAGCCTAAACAAACACATATCCCCTTAAACTGCTTCTGTCACATTGGCTAAAGTAACTAATTCAGCATCTAGTAATAGACACTATGTAATACTACACTCCACCACTGTATCATAGCATGTCACACGGTGGATAGATCACACACTGCTAGCATGCAGGCTGTTCTATAATATGGAATAGGGTTGTATAATGTGATACTGAATTTAGCATGGGATCAACACTAACATCTGGTAGCATATGAAATAGCAATGCTGCTGTGTGTGGGTCACAATACATCTGGGTCCAGAAGACCCCTAAATTGCCTCTAACACCTTTCCACACTCAATTTGCTGCCCAGAGAAGGGAAGGGCTGCTTGGGGCAGTTTTGTTCTGTGACTGGGGAGGTGGACCCCTCCAAGCTGTGTGTGGAATGAGTGCTTCACCAACGGAGGCCTGGCAGGTGTGTGACCTGTGAGCCTGATGTGAGGACCATGTTTGGAAAAGATCCGGAAGTGATAGTTTACTGTGTCCATAATGAGATGAGACAAGCTGAGGGCTCTAGCTGGGAGTGGGCAACCCCAGTAGCTCCTGAAGACATCATGATTGTCTTGGAAGATGGAGAAGAGGAAGTTTGAGGAAGGAAAAAAAGGAGTCAAGGACAGAGCAGGAAGTTGGATAGAAAAGGTGGAGTGCCACGGGAGATCTGGGGAGGCAGGGAGGGAAAGAGGGAGGGAAGGAGGAAGGGAAGGAGGGAGGGGTGGAGGGGGAGCGGAGAGGAGGAGGGATGCTGAGAGGAGCAGGCTGTGGAGTCGGGAGCACTCTAAAGTTTTCTGAACTGGAACCTCTCATTACAGCCACCCTGTGATCACAGTGGAATATGGATTGGTTGCTGGGCTGTCCTCAGGGGGACAGGATGAACCGAGTGGGGAGCAGTTCCTCTAGAGGCGCCTGGGGAGCTGGCATGGAGCCCAGAACAAAGGTTGGCACTTCCCAACTTCCCATAGTGCTGTGACTGGGTACAAGGATTTTTTTTCTTTATCCTCAGGGCCAGCCTTTCCCCAGTAGGAAAGAGACAAAGATAAGGGTCAATGATACCATTCCACCAGGAGGTAGAGCCAGGGCCTACAGAGGCACTGAGTCCAGCATGTCATTCAGGGCCACTGAACTGTGGGTCTTTGGGCAGAGGGGAATACACTATCTCTGGGTGACCCTCTTAGCTTTCAGAGTCTCCTCTCCTACTGGGATCCTCTCAAGCAGGACAGATAGACAATCCCGCTCATTGCTTACAACACAGGGGCATTAAGATAGCTCAGCAGGCCAGGGACAGGCAAGCACCTAGTTTAAATACCTGTTTCTCACTCCCTGCCTGGCAGCCCCACTCAGGAATTCCTTTCCCCACCTTGTTCACTCAGTGTCTGGAGAGAAACAGAAAAAGGAATGTCAGGTGTTGACTGGGAGCCACTAGATTGTCAAGGAGTCGCCGGGTCACACAGAGCCAGAAACAAAAGGGGGAAAAGCCACCCACCTTCACAGCTTCCTGAGATGTGCACCTTGTCTCTCCAGACCGCTTGCTCCTCATCACAGCTGCGACAAAATGCTATTTTCCTTTCCGCCGTGTGCACAGGTGCCAATCCAAATGAGTATTACTCACACACCTCTGTCCAAACACTGTGCAGGCTTCAAAGGTTGATTAAACCTCACGTTGGTGCCTATTCCTCCTGCACTCAGATGCTAGATGAAGCCCTCCCTGCAATGACCTCACCCCCATGCTCCTGTCCTTTTATGCATCCCCCCCCACCAAAAAACCCAGGGTCGCCAGGAGAGGAGGGTGTAGTGGTTCTTGGGGAGGGAAGAGAGAATGGCAGGGAGCCCGGCATGGACTTATCTTAGCTCAGAACTCGGAAAGCAGAGTGCAGAGGGCACCTTGTGTACAAAGGGGTCTGGTGAACGGGGCACTCAAGGGTGGGGAGAGCAGGGATTTGACTTTGATTACCCATAAAAATCCATTTCCTGTTCATAATGACTGGCTGGTGCGTATTGGAAATTATAGCCGTCCTGGTCCTCTCTCCCCTGTCATTAGTCCCCAGTAGAGTGGTTTCTCACGGAAAGCACACCTGCTGAAATGAGGCGTGGTGTGCAACTCCAGGGACCTGGGTCCCTGCGGATCCTGTCAGTGGTGGCTCGGGTACTAGCATTGGCCTGGGATCTCTGAAAAGCCCAAGAGATCTTTCTAGTGCCATGGATGTTCAATAGTCCTGCTGGTGCTGGAATGGAAGCCTGTGGGGTCTCCAGTCATCCCCTTTTCTTTTGGTCACAGTACCCTAATTTCATCTGAAGAGTTACACCTTCCTTATCCCTACCAGAGTTTTCTGAATGCTTGATCTCCTTACCCCCAACACCACCTTCCAGGGTGAGCATGTGTCCGAACCTCAAGAAATAGAAAGGAACCATAGGGGAAAGACAGTTGTAATTCTTCTATTGAAAAAAGAACTCTA